AGTAGGATTCCAGTCAATCCTGTGCATGTGTACTCAGAAGTCAGTCCTATTGTACTCAATTAGTCTTACTCCCAAGTGAGGGTATTTAGGATTGCTGCTTCCATATATTGCAGACTTTCTTATGTACCATCTGTTTTGTGTCCTTTCCTAAAATGTAGGAAATAAGTACTGTACTAGTAAGCTTTAAGATTAGACATTGGAAGAATTAGAATTCCACAATGTAGGTACAATATTGCTCTTACTCTTCCTTGGAGGAAGGGAGGAAGATGGACAATTATTATACCTGCATTAGTTAGCAAGGACATCTATAAGGAGCAAGGAAGAGGTTAGCTCCTAATGACCTTACCTTGATCTTGGGGAGAGGGTGGGAGGAGAATGAAGGAAGAGTATGCAATGGCTAGGAAAAGTCAAAAAGAAGAGAAAAACAGCCATCTAGTCAACACACGTAGGGCAGCTTTTTCTAGACAAAGCAGTATTATGGAAAAATGACAGGACAGCTCTTGAAATGGAGAACAGTCTAGCTAAAAAAGCTACTGAAGTAAGATAATTTTGGGTTCCTTAGAACAAACTCTAGAATGACACCTGGACATAGCAGCTGTTTTAATCTTGGGTGAAGTAGATTCCACTCCAGTATTCATATTTCCTGAGGACACATTTTCCTAGGTGGATTGGAAGAGCTCCATTTCAATGTCTTCATTCAAGTATCTCTTCATCCTGCTATGCTCTGTTATTCTTTCAGTATACCTTCTTTCTCATCAACAGGAGCCTGCATGTGGTGCCCCAAAGGGTTTGCTTGTTAAGAAGTGAAGGCAGAGAGTTCTTCTGGCACAGATTTCTTAACAACATTTCAGTCCCATCCAGGTGTGAATCTAAGAAAGCATGCTAATCATATTGTAGCTGCTCAGGAAGAACCAAGACTCTTAATCCTTTGGGTACTCTTATGTTTGCCTGGTGGGACCTGGTGGTGCTGCAGGTTAAACCACGGAAGCCTCTGTACTGCAAGGTCAGAAGACCAGCAGTCATAAGATTGAATCCACGCGACGGAGTGAGCTCCTATCGCTTGTCCCAGCTCCTGCCAACCTAGCAGTTCGAGAGCATGTAAAAATGTGAATAGATAACTAAGTACCACCTCAGTGGGAAGGTAACAGCATTATGTGTCTAATCGCGCTGGCCACGTGACCACAGAAACTGTCTTCAGACAAATGCTGGCTCTATGGCTTGGAAACAGGGATGAGCACTGCACCCTAGAGTCAGACATGACTGGACTAAATGTCGAGGGGAACCTTTAACTTTATCCATGTTTGCCTTTCCTCTATGCTTCTCATCAATATGTAACTATTTGGGAATCAAGGTATGTATGACTCCCTAATTCTGTTTTTATTAAACTGTTGGCAAGAAGACTCCAACCCTAAAATAATAATTTTGATTCCGTTGATCTTGGTAGAATGTTGCCAGTAAAAAAATAAGTCTTGACCTTGATAAGCCAATACTTTATAAGAATTGGTTCATTGTGTGTATCTGTTATGTACTGACAAAACCTCATACAGCAATCATATCAAAAGCTATAGTTTGGGCAACTAGTGGACAAATGCGTGATCGTAGAAACCCTTAATCGTGGATTCTCAATAACCAGTAAAATTCATATCCTGTAATAGCTTCCTTTTTCTGTTTATTACTTTACATTATATACAACAAATAGTGTTTCAAAGGGCTGCTATGAATTTACTGAAAATTGGGCTTTATTTATGCCAGTCTTTTAGGAAAGAAGTTTCTGCCACTCCCAAAAGGAAGTAATAATCAGTTTGAAAATGCCATAGTCAGCAGTGTATAAAGGAGAGCAGCATTAAACTATCAACTGCATGGATAGCTCAGCGAGATGGAGCAGAGCCAGGAATTGGACGTTCAAGTCCACATTGTGCCTTGTCAGAGGAGAGCTAGCCTATGTAGTCTTAGGCAAGCTGCATGGTCCAACAGCAACCCCAGAAGAAGGAATGGTAAACCACTTATGAGTATTCTGTACCAAGGAAACCCTGGCAAGATCACCATATGCTGGGATCAATTTCATGACACATAATTATGTTATGCCACTTCCAAAGTCAACAGTAGCTACAACAGGTTATGAAGGGGTTTTCAAGACAAATAAAAGCGGAGAGCTAACATTGTAGGTTCCACTTTCCCTCCAGTACTGCTAACCTTGATGCTTATAGCTAAACCACCTTTATTAATCACTAAGTCACAGGCATCCTCAAGGGCACAAGTAGAATGTATGGAGACTTTCCATGGGAATTAGAATCCTTCATGAAGAGCATCCATATATAAAAGTATGACAACCTGAGAAGGCATCCCTTCACACTGCAGCTGTTCAGTGAGATTCATAACCCCCATTTGTCACCCACACAACCACCACATATCCACTCACCACTACAATTATGTTGGTGGTTGTGGTGTTTTACCTGAGACAACCACCCCCAAACATTTTTTTTATTTATTTATTTATTTA